CTTCGGCCCATTCTCTAATTGAACTCCCCTCGTTTCGAGAGATCGGTTTTACTTTGACTAGTGGCGGCGATTAAAAATGATATGTCGGGATTAGCGGCAAAGACGGAAACATCTGAAGTTTGATATTAATCGAACGGCCGCACGCTACTTATGCCGTGGGAATGTATACAGGGTGTTTCATAACATGCGGGGGTAATTTCAGAAATGAAATCAGCGCGCAGAAATAACAGAAAAAGTTCCTACAAACATTCGTCCTGACTTTGTTTCCGAGTTACAGAGACACTTTGTATTTCACTAATTCCTGGTAGGTTTGTTAACTTTGTTAAATCGTCAGACTTGAATCCACCGAAGTTTTACTTGTGGGGTCATTTAGTATCTAAGGTTTATAATGCAACGGGAGACAACGTCGATGTGCTCCGCTATTGAAGAAAGCTGCCAACGAATCAGAATAACACCCGGAATATTCGAACGTATTAAAAAATCAGTGATAAGACGTTTAAAAGCTTTCCGATTAAAAACATCCACGTGCAATCGACGTGGAATCCACGTAAGGGAACCGATTCCATGAATGTTCTCATGGGATTGTCTTCCAGCCTAAGGTCACTTTAAGTAGTCCTTTAAACACAGAAATGTGTAAAGACGCTATTCTAGCTCAATTTGTAACGAGAATTAGTGAACCACGAAAACGTCTGTAACTCGAAAACAAGGTCAGATAGGACAAATGTTTATATGAACTTTTTGCGTCATTTTTATATATTCATCATATCATATCATAAATTCATCTCTAAAATTATATTCGCATGTTATGAAACACTTTCTATATATATACATATATAGAAAGAGAAATAGATAAACGGATAGATAAATAGATAAACAGATAGATAGATGGATAGATAGAAAAAAATTCACTGCTTCTTACGTCTTGAAGTTTATCTTGTCTGTAGTAATTAAATGTGATGTGCGGCGTAAACCTTTAAAATGATCTGCGTGAAACGTAAAATTGCGCAAGTCAAGCAATAAGGGGAACGCGTAATTTACGGTCGGAAAGAGACTTTTACCCTGAAACACGCGTCACGCGAGGGAACGAGGAACGAATAATAATTGGAAATTAATAAATACAGCGCAGCGATTAAAGATAGCACGATCGGCCCCTAAACACGTCGAAATTTCATCAACGAAAAGCAACGTGTAATTTAATATCCGCAAAGTTCGAACGTAGAAATCGCGCCTTCCAGTCTTCGACTTCCTTTATGGGTTTTTCCCCGCTCGCAATTAGCATACCAAAGCACGAAGCGGCGAGATACGATCGACACGGTAAATTCATTGAAATTAGACAGCGGACTATAATCACTATAATCCGCTTATTGCTGTCTGCTTTAATTAGAGTACCTGTGCAAGAAGATGTTAATCTTTCGCAATTTCTCCGCGCTTCTCCCAGTCCGAATCGCCTAATTGCATTGAACAACGAATACGTCATTTTGCAACATCTTTCTTCGGGCGCATTCTTCGTAGCCACGGGAGAAACGAGAAGTATCGTCCGTCGTAGCTCCTTTTCTCCTTTTATCCCCTCTTATTAACATCCGATCAATCGCCCCGGCGAGAAGCGCCCGACGATGTGCATCCCCGCGAATCCGCTTGGCCGCTCGCGACACGTCGACTGAGTATTGGCGCACTAATGCGGGGCGGAAGAATAGTCTCGACTATGTTGCGCGCGTACGTGACTAATTACGCAAATTGGACGAATCGGCGAGGGAGGCGACGGCCGGCCGCGCGTCACGCGACACACAACTTTCTAAATCCCTCGTATTTTCTCGACGAGCGCACATCACGGGCGGGAATCCGGGCTCGTGCCCGGGAGAGTCCGCGACACCTCCGCGTGGCCCTTATCTATGTGAGCCGCGTGTGAAATTTCATCTCGAGCTCAAAACTCCTTTCCTCTCGAGAGAGCGACGGTTGACTTTCTACGGATAAGAGCGCGTTTCTTTTTCCTTTTCAAAAGAGGCCTCCCCCCCCCCCCCCCNCCCCCCCCCCCCCCCCGCTCTTCTCCGGGTCGCGAGCAATTAATTATCCCGATAACGAGGATCGCCGACGAAAAGGCGCTCGATAAATTCGCAGGCGGCGAATTTATCGCCACCTGCGCGCGCCGATGCGCTCGTATGCACGTGCATCGCGGCGCATGCATGCACGATGCATGCACGTAACGCAATATCGACACAACGTGTAATTACCCGGGCCGGCGAGGGGCTCGCGATAGCCCGAGGGGCCCCTCTCGGAAACTCTGACCTCCGCTCGACGTTATTACGGGGGTCGCGGGCCCCCGGAAAATGTAGCACGCGTTCTCCGCACAGAGTATGCCGGAGGAACCGTTCCCACCTGCGAACGAAGTTAGGATTGCCGCGATCGCGCCGTCATCGAGGGAGAAAGAGCAAGGGCAAGGAGAGGGGGCACTGAAATATACCTGTACTGGAAGAGGCACCGGGCCTGGGAAAAAAGTCAAGCCGACCGAGAGGTCAAACTTGAAAGTGCGCCCTGACGAGAAAAGGAACCAGATGAGAATCCACGTAGGAAATCCATACGGAATCTCACGACCGTTCCTGCGCCGACTTGCGCCGAAAATCCCGATCCTAGGGTAGAAATTCATGCGGATCCCTGTATAGATTTTTATCGCCCCGTATGGATTCCCACGAGTTCGTATGGATTTCCACGGGAATCCACCTGGCAATTTTCAACCGGGTCTTCTCTTCGTCGCATATGCGTCGCTCTCTTTAGAAAGAGACGGGTTTACGTATAGTGTGAGTAAAGGATAGCTCGCCATAAACATCTATCTATCTGTCTCAGGCATTATACGGCCTCTTCCAGTATACTTATATTTTAGCGGGAGAGAGCGGCTTGAGGTCGCAGCCGGAAGAATCGATACCGGTGAGCACCGCGAATCGGTCGTCGCGCTGAACGGATCGAGAAACGGTCGACGAGGGTCTTCCTCAGCAGTCGATAACGACGGCAGTGAACGGTAGCGTTCGCCAGTGTGATTGCCCGTGTAATTAACGCGATTAATTCCGTTCGTTCGATCGACAATCACACGATATTAACGCGAAGGCAGTGTGCGCGGAGAACCCTTCGAAACGGTTTTGCCTCGCGGGGGGAGGGGGGATGAAGAAAGCAAAACGCGAAGCGATTCTTCCGGCCGACGATCCTCAAACACGTTGACGAGCACGCTCGTCGTCGATTCGCGGCGCCAGAAGCCAGAAGAAGCGGTCGAGAAGAATTGTCGTCGCGGTCGGTCCCTTTTCCAGCTGCTGCTGTGCTTATGCAGAAGATGAGAGAGGGGGGAAGTTAAAGAGAAAAGGATGGAAGGAAGATAGATGCGCGTATGAGAGTGCCAACGGAAGAATAGCGCATTACGCATTCTCGTTACGTTTGCTTCGCTCTAATCGCTCGTTGAGTATGTACCTAAATCACAGCTCATGCTACTAATTACTTATTAACGGGTATTCCTCTCGATACTCTGCACTTATCGCTCTAAGTTATACTCCCTAATCTATCTATCTGCGTTTCTTGTAACACGGGATGTCCCGAAAAACCACCAGACGTCCTCTCTCTCTCTCTCTCTCTCTCTCTTTCTCTCTTTCTATCTCACCTCGGCCGATTCAAGATTTTTCCTTCGTGAAAACATTGAGCTAAAAACAGTCGTCCGGCAAAGTAAACCTTCGAAGAAAAAGTTAAAACAACTTTTTTTCTAATTAAAAAAAAAATTGAATTTTTTTTCGAAAATCCCTCGAAGTTTTCGCACTGGAAAAACCGTCTTCCAAGTCGACCACAGAAGCTGACTCCGGCGGTTTTGTGAGGGGACACCCCGTACGCACATACAATATTATATATATAAAAGATTTACTTTTTTTATAAAACATCTTCAACGTTAATATATATCTCGTGGCTATTAAATATCGTTAATTGTCGTAATTAGCCTATAAACACTCGTCGTTTTGTCCGCCTCGTCGTCATTGTCATAGTCCTCGTCGTCGTTGTCATTAACGGTAATTGGATCATGGTAGGAACAATAATTTCACGGGTGTCATGTTAGTAGAGAGGGGAGCGACTGAGCTCCTCGATCGTCCGTAATTAATTAATAATTAATACAAAAACGCGGCGGCGGCAACGGCAGGCTGCCGCCGTTAGGATAGAAAATCTCGCAAATAAAAGTCGAGGCTCTTAATTAGTTTCTCAATCAGACCGACCGTTCGGTTTCTCGCTGTTCGAAACTTCGCCGTCTCTCCATCGATGTACAAGGTGTCTCGAAGAGAATGAGTCCCATCCTTCGAATAATCCGGAATTGATACTATTTCCGCAGCAACCCACGCGAGTTCCGTCGGACTTGTCAATTGAATTACTCCAAGTCGAGCGGCGACCCGACTGCGTTAAGCATACTTTATTGAGTTGACTCGAGTCAAGTGACTCGAGTTCATTTAAGATCAGTCAAGTCAAGTCAAGGCAACTCCGACTCAAGTAACCCGATTTAAGGTTTCACTTGGAACTCGTCTGAGCCCCACGACTCCCCGAAAAATTTACCCCCCCCCCCGAGCTTCCTCCCGCGAGAGAGTCCGTTCAGCGACACCCGGTACACACGATGCGTCTATCCTACCGCTCGTCATGGTTCGCTCTTTCTCGCGAAAAAAAAGAAACTCTGCGTCATGGAAATCATCGTCGTCGCGCTTCGCACCGCGCACGCGTATACTCCGTACAAAAGGAAGTAAAAGAAGAAAACGAAAAAGACGGGGAGAGAAAAATAAAGAGAGGAAAAAGATGGAGGGCGAGGAAAGAAGGAAGAGACCAGCCACGGCCGCCATCCTTTCCATGACAAAAAAATAAAATATAAAAAAGAAAGTAAAAAGGCATTGAAAGACGGATAAAAAGAGAGAGAGAGAGAGAGAGAAAAGAAAACATCTACGAAGTCGTCGACGAGAAGAGGGGACGATCGCTCGCGCCCGTCGTCGATCGGCGAACTAACTAGGGGGGTTGCAAGCTGCTGGGTCCCCCTGACTCCTGCTGGCGATCGCGGAGGACGCGGAAGCGGCGGCGTTGCTGTCCGCCGTGGGGCTGGCGTTGCCGTTGTTCCCGCCGGCGGCTGCGTTTCCGGCTGCCCCGCCGGAGCTCTGCTGGATGCTGGGTTTCTGCGTCACGTGAGTTTGATAGTGCTTGGCCAAGTGGGCTTTCTGCCGGAAGCTCTTGCCGCAGAGGGAACAGGCGAACGGCTTCTCGCCGGTGTGCGTCCTGATGTGCACGTTCACGCTGTACTTGTCCTTGAAGCCCTTGCTGCAGATGCTGCAGTAATGAAGGGAGCGTTCCTTGCGCTGAACGCTGCCGGGGGAGCCGCCGGAGCCGGCCTGCTGTTGCCCGCCGGCGTTTCCGCCCGCCTCGGCGCCGGCGTTCCCGTTGCTGGCGCCGTTCGCGTTGTTGCTGTTGCGATTGCCGCGCCTGCAGTATTTCTTCGGCGGCTTGGCGGTCACGCCGACCCGAGCCGAGGTGAGCTGCAGTTGGCTCGGCTGCTGCTGCTGCTGTTGTTGTTGCTGTTGCTGCTGCTGTTGCTGCTGCTGCTGCTGATCAACGTCGGCTCGTTGGCCGGTCTGTTGCTGAAGCACCTCTTGCTGAGCGGCCGTGACCACCGTGACGGTGCTCACCTGGCTCAGGTCGCCCGGCAACGTGATGGTGCCCAAGCTGCCGCTCGCCGGGTCCAAGGTGTACATGACCGTGGTGGTCGACACGTTGCAGACCGGCTCCAAGCTGCAGTACGACTCCACCACCTCGTTGGCGATGCTCTTGAGCTTCTCGTAGTCGCCCGGTCGGTAAGTCGTCTGGTCCAACTGCGACAGCAGCAGGTCCTCGTCGGTGCACGCGTGCATGGAGTCCTCCTGCTGCTGCTGCTGCTGCTGCTGGTCGGGCACCAAGAGGCCGGCGCTGGCCGAGACCGGCATCGAGATGGTGGATGCTTGGGAAGACGGTGAGGACGAGGAGACCGATTGAGTCGGTCCCGTGTAGAGTTTACCCTGAAGAGCGCTCCGCAGCAGACTCTCGGCGGAGTCGCCGGCGCCGACGGCGACCGCGGCCGCCGCCACCGCGGCGACCTCCTGCAGGTTCTGATCCGACAGCTTCCAGTCGTTGTTGTTGTCGCCGGAGCAGTTGGCCGAGGACGCCCGTGCGCACAGCTCCTTGCTCTCGACGAAGCCGCTGTCGTCCGTGGTGTACTGGGAGGTCGGCACGGTGAAGCGGTCCGGGTGAAACCTCTCGTTGACGCCCCGGCTGACGTCACCGGCGGTCTGCTGCTCGTGATCTTGCTCACCGGAGGACGGCTCCATGCTGAGGATAGCGTCCAGGTCGAGGTTCGGCCGGAGCGACCAGGAGTCGCCGGAAGCGGGCGCCGGGCTCTTGCAGCAGTCCAACGCGTCCATCGAGTTCGCCTCGTTGTTGAGCACCGTCAGCGTGTAGATCGCACCGTCCGTGTTCTGCCGGTCGTTAGCGCCGCAGCCGCGGCCGCCCACCGCCTGGTGGTGCTCGTTGGGCCCGGCCTGGTGAATCACGCCGGCGTCGTTGGCGTGCGCGTTCGACGACCAGCAGTACTTGTTGAGGTCCTCCAACAGAATGTTGCACGTCTGCTCTTTGCCCTCGTCCTCAGCCGCGCCCCAGTAGTCGCATTCGGACTGGTCCATGGCGTCGTTGGACTGCTGGACGCCGGCATGCTGCGAACGGCCGACCTGCTGGTGAACGTGATGATGGTGCTGATGGTGGCTCAGCGAGCCGGTGATGGTCGAGACCGGCGGCAACGCCGTCAGCGTGTTGTTGTTGGTCTCCTTGAGGAAGGGCGAGCCGTGCAGCTCGGCTCGCGGGTTCTCGTGCTCCTCGTGGCTCTGTTGGAGGTAACCCATGCTACGGCAGCCGCCGCGGTTCAGGAAGCTCTCCTCGTCGGAGACGCCGTCGGCGCAATGCGGCGGCGGCGACACCACGAAGTCGAAGAAGTCGGTCTTCGGCAGGTCCTCGCCGCCACCTCCCGGCGCGAAAGTCTCCGTCAGGTCCATGGAAGCGATACGGCGCCGCTCACGGATGGCCCACCTTGTGTGCCGCTCTCGGTGACCGCTCTGGATGGCCCTCGGACGGTGCGCTCAGGTCCGTCGCGCGACCACGACGATCGTCGTTCTCGGCTGGGTGGCTTCGTCAAACGCGGCGCCCTCGGCTCCACCCCATCCGCCACCGCATCCTCGGCTTCCACGGACTGCCTGCAGCGACAAGGAAGCTTTACTATACGATTGTAGGCTGGGTCTTGATAACGTCAATTAGGTAATGGTAATTTCGCGAGAAAATTCCGCTATCGGTTAGTGATCTCAAAGTTCCTCAACCCTAACCGTGAACCCATCGTCTCGACCTTAATCTGCCGCACCGAGGTTATTTCTGTCCCCGCTTATTCAATGCTTATAAAAGTGTTAATAAAAATCTGTAGAAAGTCATGAACGTATTATTAAGTCTGTGGAACCGAATTGTGGAAAGGGGTGGTCGTAAATGCTCATCCCCGAATATTTCATTTTATTGAAGGTACCGAGAGAAACCCGGTGAGAACATTAGTCGACCGAGGTCCACGATTGGGATTAAATCCGCATCTTGAATTCGATTCCTCCAAACGACGAGTGGCACCGGACTGCTACATCCCACATTCGTAAACATGGAACTCCGGAGAACAGCGTCAAGATAGCCCCGCGGATCTAACGTTCCCGGATATTTTCGGCGACCTTGGCGTTTCGGTGCGGCCGCACACCGTAATCCCAACGTTCCGGCGAACATTCTTCGCGCGGCCGGAGGAACGTTTCACGCACGGCGCTCGGACATCCGGGAGCGCGGCGTGGCGGCTGCGATCAATTGTTGCGGGGCTCGCGTTGTTGGCATTTAGCCGAGCGTGGCTCGCTCGCACGGCTACACTGTATTAATTTGGTACAGTGCGTTGTGCGGCGCGTTGCGGGGATAGAACGAGCGCGGAAAAGAAGTTGCGCAAGCAAACGTTGCTCATACCACTCGGCGGCGGCCGTCGTACACGCGCGCCGCCATCCTCTCCTCACTGTCTCTCTCTCTCTTTCTTTCTCTCTGTCTGTCTGTCTGTCTCTTTCTCTCTCCCTCCTTCCTCCCCCCCTCGCTCTCTTCCCTCTTTCGTTCTCTCTTTCTCGCACCCGCGCTCCTACCTCCGAGAGAGCTCGAGCGCCTTGCTAGAGCGAATTTATACACGGTTACGGTGCGTTCCCACGCCTAGAGCATGCGAGAGAGCCTTGCTCTTCGAGCTGCTCCAAACGAGCGCCCGCAGCCGATGTACCGAGCCCGCAACCTCGTCGCGCAAGAAAACCCTGGAAAATCTAGGTCGCCCCCGACGTCATTGCGCCTCGCACGTTCGTCGCTTAATGGCGAGTGTAACGCGGGCGAGGTAGCGCCGACGACGGCGACGAAGATAGCGACGGTAGCGAGAGTACGAACGCGTGTACTTCATGCGCCGAGCGCGGGTGCAGCCTCGGATCGCTGACGATTAATTGACGACGCCGATCCAAGTCACAAGCGATATCGCGAAAGTTACTCGTTCTCTCTCATAGTCGTAGTTTTACACGGGAAAAAAGAATCGGCTCCCACGGCTGAAAAGTGGCTCCCACAGGCAAAAATTCGCCGTCCGTATAATATCACTGGAACTTAGTTAATTTAGCGAACTTTTTCCGTTCCTGTACTTGATTCTCAGCTTCCGCAGCTAAAGAGTAGGTCTGGTAATTAAATTTCAGTTGTATCATATAGGCTGCCGATTCTTTTTCTTTTTCGTATACAGTGAGAAGAAATTTGATAACAATTGCCAAAATTTAGTTAGTTTCAATTAAATTGTTCGGTCACCGCAATCGAATCATTTAATACCATATGCTATACTGTAGCGCCGTATAGCGTCTTATTCTGGTAAACATTTAACAGTAATATTGTAACACTGAAAGAAGGATTTGGTAACCATTGCCAAGATTTGTTCAAATAGTCTTAACTAAATTGTTTGATTGTTACGTAACCAAATTCCATCATTTAGTACCATATACTGTATGAGTAGTATATAGTACTATATAGTATATAGTATAGTTTATATTATAATATATGTGTGTAATAATATAATACTAAATGATTTGGTTGCAATAACCAAACAACTTAGTTGACATTGTTTAACCAAATCTTGGTAATTGTAAACGAAATCATTGTTTCAATCTAAAATGTGATAGTTTCCCACTCAACGGTGTAACTATTGTACACAACGCACGTTATATTCCACTTACATTGTTGAGTGGGAAATTATAACGTTGATGTAATATTACCGTTAGTGTTTGCCAAGTAGTAATGGAGTCCGGTTTCTTTAGAATGTTCTCAATCCTAAATCGGAGGTCGAGCCTCTCCCCGATCGTCTCGGAAGGATCGATACCCTGATTTCACAATAGTCCAATAACAGTTTTAATTAAGGATCGAGGCCCTAATTCCCGTAATTAAGACCGAAAGGATTCCCGGTCGCTCGGTCGGAGTGAGAAAATTACGGGGTCCGGGGAAACCTCCGAGGATTCAAGAATGTCGTCCGTCCGCCGAGAAATCCGGGGGGGCCCAGGAAATGTAGGTCCCAAGAGCGACGAGGGGGCCACAATGCGATTGTTCCCCGCAGCGATCTTTTTTTCCCTCCCCCCTGCCGCTCCCCCACCCCGGAGTGCGCCTTGTGCAACGCGCGATCTAGTTTCGAACTCGCGAGATCGGCGTACGGTAGGAAACCGGGAACCGATCCCGGGCATCGTTTGAGCAACGTCGCCCGGAGGAAATCGGATCGTGAAGTTCGACGATCTCGCAACGATTCCGAAGAAAACGGCGAGGAGGGACCGAGAAGAAGGAGGGGTGAGGAAGGGGAGAGGGCCGCTTCGAGGCGGCCTCGTATGCTCGATCGGGGCCCTCGCGATCCGCGCGCGCGGAAGATCGATCGAGCGGGCTAATGAGGCCCGGTGATCACGACGATTTCGCCGATTCCGCGAATTCGCGATCGCCGACAACGCCCGATGCCACTTTCCTTCCTCGATCTCCTACCGATTATTCTCCCTTAATTTTTTTTTTTCCTTTATACGTTTTCTTTTCCAACGGCCGATCGCGCGATTCCTGTCGTCGTACGTGCGTGCGCGCGTACACACCTGGCAAACCGCCCGACAGTAGATAATATGATAAGAAATTTATTTTAGATACACCTACATGTAATTTCGCGATATTCTTTTATTACAAATTTATACAATTATAGCAAATATTTTCACTCTCTCTCTCTCTCTCTCTCTCTCTCTTTCTGTATAAAACTACAGTATATCTAAAAATATAATAATGTTTTATTCTTTAGTATTATTTTTCACTTCAAATATTGCACAATCTATTTTTAATTAAATAAATAAATATAATGACCGTGGAGTAAGATAATATTCATACGAGTAAGGTAAAACATTCGTACATTTTATTTCAAATCATATAATTATACATAATTGTTTTTAGTTTTGTTCCTGTCTAGATTTTATATTCTTTAAGTTACATTGTTACAGATAATATTTTTAGATGTACTTTATATATTGCACAAACATTATAATAACGAAATAAAATAAGAAGTTTGTGAAAATTGTATTTTTTGCATATTTATAACAAATTTATGTTTAACCTTTGTCATCTTATCCACATATGAAGACGACAGAATTGACGTTTTGCACAAAATTAAAATTTGACAAAATCCTAATTTATTTATAAAATTTTCAGTTTATGCAGATGAGAAGCAAGACTTTAGCTGTGATCGACAAACCTTAAGGTCGTCATCTCACTTTTCTTTCCCTTATTTTGAGCTTTTACGAATTCGAAACTTCACTTACATAACTAAATTCCATTTTCGGGTATTTTTCAAATTTTCATCGACCATGAAACTTCGGAAAGAGCTCCCGCCGGGAGGGACTCGGCCGCGATTGGTCGCGTATGCGAGGTTGTTGCATGCAACGAGCGGCATTCTGCCTGCTTCCTGGTAAAAACGGCGAGGGGGATCCCTCTCTTTCTCTCGTGCTGGGAACTCGACACCGCCGGTATTCGGGTTCAATCGATCAAATTTCGGGCCCCGGAAGAAAAAGGAAGAGCCGAGGAGTCAATCCTCGCTGACGCGAGGAACGAGCGGGAAAAAAACGCGAACACGCTCGCAGCGAACACGTCCACCTTCCTCCGCCGACCGTCTTTTCGTCCAGCTCGCCGATTCCTCCTGCTGTAAAGCAGGAATTGGTAAAATTTTACGAGCGTCTTTATACGCCGTAATAACACGTCTGCGGCCGGACTTTATCGCTTCATTTGGCCGATATAATTCGCCAACGGACGTCACGTGTCCTCTCCTTCGTTTCTCTCCCCTTTGGCGAGTGACTCACCCCGATCACGATCCCGTGATTTCACACGTCTCCTCGTAGGGAACATCGTGATAGGTGCGAATCGCCGATGGTGGGATAACGTGGAGAGGACGGGGTATCCTCTCCGCGAGGGATAGTCGGAAATTAACGGTAAAGCAGGACTACAGGTACCACGGTCCATTTAGGCGCGACTCTGTCATTACGTTTCGAAGCGAATTCGAAGCGAACGAGCGGCCCCCCTTTCCTCGTATTTACCGTAAACTCTATTATGTGAACGACGCACCCCCCGCTAACACGACGTACACGAGCGCGTAAAACGCTATTGCGAGTAATTGTGTGAGTAGAGCAACACCTGATTATCCCCACTTATCGTATAAATCTCCTTTCCTCCTTAATTTTAATATATACTACTTCAAAATAAGTGGAACACTTTTGGGAAGTAGAACGAAATGAATCTACTACTGAGACACGTAACGAGCCGGACGCATGCGAATTTATTGGACATGTGTGAAACAACATAACGTTGTGGGTGTAAGCGTGAGTCGAATAACACCTGTTATTTGTTTTGATTTCAGTATATGCTACGTCAAAATGAATGGAAAATTTTGGAAGAGTAGACTGAATTTGATCTAATG